AGGGACCAGTGGACAGGGTGAATGTTATTTTCTGCGTTACGAAATTGGTATTCACTGAAATTTTAAAATTCAAGTGACTTCATAAAATTTTCAATTTCAGTGAATCCCAATTTCGTAACGCAGAAAAAACCCAGCATTGCACGTGGCGCCCTCTACCTCTTGGGATGAGGTACTACGATGTCGGTGGGGTCACTCAAGCCCCAAAACTGAGCCTCTACTTTAGTCAATCCTCTTTGAATAGGACTCACGATATCGCCCCCCTGCAACACTCGTGTGGAATATTAGGTGTGACTGATCTCGACTTCACCCCGCAACATTATTTAAATACGTTTCGTTGAATAAAGGTAAATAAAATTCAGTAACTTATAACTAGACGACTGTATCTCTCCTAGGTCAGAGGTACGACAAAGTCATCAATTATGGGAGCGCAATGACGGTAGTAATGCCTCCATTTTGATGCATGCCAGACTGCAGTTGTAAATATCAATCAGAAGTGACATTTGCCTCAATGTTCTCAACTCGTAATGAATATTCATGGCATTACCAGTATTAATTCGCGCAAATGTTCTATTCGTTGAATTCAAATAGACATTTATTTTGAGAATATGTGAATAGATTGGTGATTTATTTTGTGAGAAAAAAATTAATTTCCACTTTTGCTCCACCTTCGGGGACTTTGGTATTATTTTCAACATCATTAACGAGAGGAATGCACATGATTGCATCGACGATTGGTTTATAATTTTGCATAGTATTAAGAGATATTGTTACAAATTATAGCATTTAAATAGGAAGAAGTGGAAGAAAGTGTAAAAAAGTTATCAAATTATTTAAGATTTATGAATTGTCCCTTGTAGTTAATCAAGATACGTTTGAAGAGAAGGATAAAAATGGCAGAACTAGCAGCCCTGCTGCGTCAAGATATACCAGAGGGTCGTAGCAACCTGGCAGACAGCCACACGAATTTGGAGCGCGTAGCAGAGTACTGCGAGGCTAATTACTTCCAAGCGGAGAACAAGAGAATAGCCCTGGAGGAAACAAAGAACTTCACAACCCAGTCATTAGCGAGTGTAGCCTATCAAATAAACACCCTGGCGTACAATTTTCTGCAGCTGCTGGACCTCCAGACATCCCAGTTGGCAGAGATGGAGAGCCAGATGAATCACATCGCCCAAACTGTCATGATTCACAAGGAGAAAGTTGCGAGACGAGAGATTGGAGTGCTGACAGCCAACAAGATGACAACGAGGCAGTACAAGATCATAGCACCAGCTAATCCCGAGAAACCAATAAAATACGTGAGAAAGAGCATAGACTACAATACCCTGGATGAAATAGGTCACGGTGTCAGGAGCAGTGGCACACCAAGGAGCAAACAAAGGGGTGGAAGTCAGGGAAGTGTTCAGTCACTCGGGGCTGTATCGAGTGGATCAGGTTTGGCAGCTGCCATGGTCGGTCCAGCACCCACTACTAAACCTCCAACACCTCCTCAAGCTGCTAGAACTGGAACTCTCAGCAAGGGTTCCAGGGAGTACAGAACACCACCTGCTGTTGCTCCTCCTCAAGTTCCCAGTCATTATGCACCGAATTATCCACTTGGACATCCAAGACGAGAGCGGGGACCTGGTTACAGCACTCTTCCACTCCATGCACACACCACTCAACACAATACACTCCCTCACAATAGCCATAATAGTCATAATAATAACGC